CTTCCATTTTTGTGGTGCTGAGGATCAAACCCAGTGCCTCACATAGCAAGCTCTACCACTGAGCCATAACCCCAGCTCCCCCCAGCCCTCTTTTAAAAATATTTTATTTAGAGACTGGGTCTTGCTGAGTTGCTTAGGGCCTCACTAAGTTGCTGAGGCTGGCCGCCTGCCTCGGCCTCCCAGTGCTGGGATTACAGGCATGAGTCAGCACGCCTGATTATGAATGTTTTTATTTAATGATCTAAATGTCTCTCTAACTCCCCAAGGTAAGTTTTCTTGAGTGCAGGGACTAGGTCTGGTTGGTCTCTCTGCTCCTTTCACAGGGCTTGGCAGGCTAGGTTCAGATCACCTCTTGACTGACCAGATATTCTCTTCTCTCCCTCCTGGTACTAGATTTGGAATGAAGTTTCAATGACCACGGAACTCTGGAGGTGAGTGAAGGAAGAGCCAAAGATGATCCTACAAAGGAGAGATGGGTCTACTTGATAAGTCTTCTGAGTGCCCTATGAATTTCTGGCTCTGTTTAATTCACAGAAATGATTATCCCTGACCCTACCAGCAGAAAGCTGCTCTGGTTAGGGACATAAGGTTGTCAAATGGGAGGGTTTCCAGACTCAGGCAGAAATATACAGCAAATGAATGCCACTGATTGACAGAAGACAAATGAACAGAAATATGATCATATTACTTTCATTTTAATTCAGCCTTGATATAATAATGTAGCAATGTAAGTATGTATGATGTTAAAATTTAAGAATAGGGAAAGAAAAAGACCTGTCAAACCTCAAAAATCTCTTTGCTGAATACAGTTCAGCCTGTTACCCAGGAGTTGTGTTTATCACTCATGATGGGAAATGCCTATTTACACATCAAAGATTCTTTGAAAGAGGGAGGGAATTTTTAGGATAATTATGCCTTGAGATATCTGAGAAGTCAGGAATGCCAATTTAAACCATATTTTGTTTTCAGGATTATAGAGCACTTTCTATCTGTAGCTTTTTATTACTAACAATTAAACAAATACTCTCTTACTTATTCAGTTTTGAAGTAGAACTTTTGTTGGAATTCAATCTTTCTCTCTTTAGTTCTGAGGTTGTGGTCTAGACATAACATTCAGGGGCTGGTGACATAGGTCAGTTGGTAGAGTGCTTGCTTTGCATGCACAAGGCCCTGGGTTCAATCACCAGCACCACATACACACACACACACACTAAAAAAAAAGTTGGGAAATCGGCTTTCCTGTAGGCAAGTAGACAAGATTCTGTCTTGCCAGTGTTTCTTTTAATTTTTTTTTCTTTCTTTTTTTTTTTTTTTTTTGATACCAGGGATTGAACCCAGGGGCACTTAAGCACTGAGCTACATACCCAGCCATTTTTTACTTTTTATTTTGAGATAGTTGCTTAGGGCCTAGCTAAGTTGCTGAAGCTGGCTTTGAACTCTCAATCCTCCTGCCTTCGTCTCCTGAGCTGCTGGGATTCCAGGTGCCAGTGTGTTTCTTAAATTGTTTCATTAGGAATAAACGAATTGACTGATGATCAGGGTAACTACTTATAGAAGTCCTTGCAGAGGAGTGGTCATATTTAAATGGTTGAGATGTCAATCCCATCCCCACTCTTTGTTCTCATCTTTGCTGATAAGACAGAGTAAAAATTTTCCCTGTGAGTAAAATAAGTATTTATTTAAGAAGTTAAAAAAAATATTTAGGCCTGGCACAGTGATAGATGCCTGTAATTCCAGTGACTCAGGAGGCTGAGACAGGAGGATATAGGAAGTTGGAGGCCAGCCTAAGCACCATAGTGAGACCCTGTCTCAAAATGAAAAAAAATCTTTGAAATGGCGTGGGGATATAGATCAGTGGTAGAGTTCCCCTGGGTTCAGTCCCCAGTACCACAAGAAAAAAAAAAAAAATCACCTCACCACTTAACTTCCACAGTGTCATTTGTTCCTATGTTGTGCCTTCCAGGTTCTTCATAAAAGTTTTTCTGCTGTCTGTAGGCCAAATCACAAGTAGATTTTAAACTACTATTCCATAGTGTTCGTCTTGATTTTAGTGTAAAATTATCTCTTGTGATTGTTTTTGTTTTTCATTTTGTAAAGTCTCCTTTTTTAAAAACGTTGGCAGCTTGTTCATGTGAGCCAACCTTTATGCAGGCCACACACCAAAATCTGGGCCTTCTTCCCCCCTAGGCCGAGAGTGTCACTTGTGAAAAGGCGAGAGATTCAGCAGCACAGTGGGTCTTCATCCAGTGTCTGGCACAGAGCCTGACACACAGGTGCCCAGCGAGTCGGGGGGCGGGATAGTAGACACACTTTGTGTAGTACCAGTACTTACTCAGACCATAGGGCTGTGAAACAGGGATTTCCCAGCTGACCTCATTCTCCCCCTCTTGAGATGTAGTGCTGGACTTGGAGCCAGGAGATGCCACATCGGCTCTGGTATAACCTGAGCACTGAAAACCTCCATCCATAAGGCCTCCTCTCTCCAGCACTCAACTTCCATCACATCATAAGCTGCTCCTTTCTTCTGGAACTTAATTTGTGACAATAACAGTGAAAAGGAGGCAGGGAGGAAATGTTTTATGTTCTACTGGAATTAAGTTACTAATTCAAACATTGTTGTTATAAGTTGAGATTTAAATTTTGATCCCAAGGCAGCCACTAAAAAGTATCAAATATATGAAAATGGTAAGAGAAAGGATGAGGGAATTATAATAGTATACTAGAAGGTAGCATCAAAGAAGGCAGTAGTTGGGGAATAGAGGGGAAAAAGGCATAAGACACAGAAAATAAAATGGCAGAATGACATTTATCTCCCATCTTATTAGTAACTGTATGAAATGTGTTACACACTCCATTAAAATGGCAAAGATTGACAGAATAGATTTTAAAAAGTGATCCATCTGTATGTTATCTATGTGAGACACAATTTATTCTGTGTGCTTGGAATAGCATGTGCCTCACATATGCTAGGCAAGTTCTCTACCACTGAGCCACATTCTCAGCCCTGAGATATACTTTAAATTCAAAGATACAAGTAAGTGATAATGAAACAATGGAAAAAGATGTGCCTGACAAATAGTGACCAAGAAAGCGCTGAATGGTTGTGCTAGTAGCGTCATTCAAAGATTTTAAGACAAAAAAAGTGTTACTAAGAGTCAAAGGGTGTTTTATAATAATAAATGGGTCCATCTGTCAAGAAAATATGACATTTATATGTGTCCCTAACAACAGAGCAACAAATACTTGCAGGTGCTGACGGATTAAAGGGAGAAATAGGCTATTCAATAATAAGAGTTTGAGGCTCTTGAATCCCAGTTTTTTAACCTCTTGCTTCTGTGTCGTCACATGTAGAATGAGGATATCATGCCTCACTGGGTTGACTGGATACATA